GTCCCTATTCTTTCAAAATGATACAACCCCCGACTCTACTCCTCGAGTCTAGCAAGAACTTGATGAGTTCACCTTCATCCATAGCATTGGGACCATCTTCAACCGACTTGCCGAGTTCATCCTTGAACTCGTCGAGTTCATCTTCATTATATGAATGTGTCCAGTCTATGACTCGTCAAGTTCTATGAACAACTCGTCGATTCCCTCTTCATGATTTGGGGGATTGCCTTGAACTCGCCGAGTCTGTTCATACACTCTCCGAGTCCTATGATTTCCAGTTCCAAAACAAACCCCTAGCAGGCTGAGTGTTCCTTCCACTCAACCAAAACCATTTCCAGAAGTCGTTTCGGGGGAAAAAGCGTCCCAACTCGCCGAGTCCCTCTTTTTCCAAAACTATATTGTCGATTTCAGTGGGACTTAATGCATCCCAATCATTGATCTGGCCTCCTAGGGTCCCTTTTATACGTAAAGCTACAAACTTGATGTCTATGCATGGGGTTTTTTGCTCAAAAGGCTATAAAATGGGGTTTATATAATTCATGGGTATCCCATGCCCACAAAGTTGGCACCTTTATGCCATGGGAACCCTCAATGCTTCCAGATCTGAAGCACAAACCCGCATATACAAGAAAATCTGAGCATAGCCTCTCAAAAGCTTAGAAAAGGTAGAGAAATAGCCCCAAAACAAGATCTAGGAAATAGATGGTAAAGGCTCAAGATTTTTACCTTGAATGGACTGAGAATGAAGCAAAACCTTGGGATCTACTAGCTTCCTCTTGATCTCCTAAGCTCTGTTCTTCTCCTTCAACTTCAAACACACACAAAAGGCACAAAAGAGCTCAAAATCACTCAAGAATGGTTTAGGGTTTCAATCTAGGGTTTCTCTGAGTTGGGAGGGTGATGGAGGCTGGGTTGGGATGAGATAAATTGTTTAAATACGGTGCAAACCCTAAATATTAGGGTTTTGTCCAGACAGCTCCTACTCGTCGAGTCGGTCACTTAAACCCCCGATCATAAGTCGAGTCTACTCGACAAGTTGGGCCACCAACTCGCCGAGTCCCAGAGTAAATTGCAATATTTCTTGTAATTAAATACGTACCAGGAACTGGGTGCTACATGTTGTGTAGTGGAGACCCGTGTGTTGGTCTACTTATCGTGTGGCATAGACGGGTGTTGAGCAATATAGTTTTGAAACTGGTGGCTCAGTGAATGGCAGGTTGAGTCAGGCAGTTGTAGGGAGTTGACTTGTTAGAAAAGTCATGGTGGTATATTAGCAGCTTATTATTAGGATTATTCTTAGTGGATTCATGTTCAGTTTATGAAAATGTTTCGTGTGAGTTAAGTTGCTAGTGATGTGGGCACTTATAAGTCTCTTGGGTGTCTCGGAAGACGATTGTGCACCTGAGCTATTTTTGGAGCTTGAGTGTCACGTGACTTTGGTTTTGACCATGGTTTTGCTCGTGGGAGCAGTTGGCTAGTCACGACTTGTGAGGAAGTGAAGTGTGTATTGGGGACTTTTGAGTGATTTCCTAATTTAGGATGGCTAGGAATCCTTGATCAAAATGTTTTGAGTGTTGTTATGAAAATTAGTGGTGTTCCTGGTCTGCGACTTGGGGTAAGTACAACTAGTGGATGATCGTTATCCGTTTATGTATGTCTTTAGAGCTTAGATTGTTTGGCTTCTGGTTTTTAGTAGTACATTGATCGTTATCCGTTATGTAGGTCTCTACGGGAGAATACGGATTGTGTTAGTGAAGTTAAAATTCTAACTGAGTAAGATTTCGAAGACCAAATCCAGTTTAAGTAGGGAGAATTGTAACACCTAATTTAGGGATGTTTCTATAATTCAGATAGTGGTCGTAAATGGATCAAGTAAATGTCTTGGACATCAAGTTAATAGGTTTTTGACCCTAGCGGATGTTGATAAGTTTGCGTTAAGTTATTAAAGCCCTCTAATTGTGCTTCAAAACAAAAGGGTAAAATGGAAAAAATTGTATATCGGTCTTCTTGCACAGACTATAGTTTTTATTTTGACATGTATTGAGCCTAAAGTATTTATTGAAGGTTTTGGGGATCATCAATACTTTTCCGTGCATATAAAGATCGTTAAAAACAGAGTTGAAATGAAGAAGTTATGACAGTTTGAAGTTGGAGTGGAGTTGGGTGAAAACTCGTCATCACGAGGTCAGGAACAGATCCTCACGATGGAATGAGGATGTCACGAGGTAGCAAACATGCTGTCACAAGGTGTGCGTTGGGTAGCCTAAGCCCATGAACTTTTAGGGTTTTCTATGTATTTAAAGGATGGTTTCGTGTTTTTGTGGTATTTTTCCATCATCCATCACATCTAAGGCCTCTTAGAGAAACCCTAGCCTTCCTTTCACCACTTTAAGTGTCCCCTCTCCTCTCTCATTAGTTTTTGGAGTATTTTGGTTGATTTTCGTTGGAAGCTCTTTCAAGATTGAGTTTTGCATCCTTGCAGAAGAGCATCTCCACTTCTATCTATCTTTTGGACCTTGTGTATGTTTCAAGTTTCCATCCTTTTGCTTATAAGTTGCTAGAGCTAGATTCTAAACTTGTTTTGGTCCATTAAATGAAGATTTTGTTGTTGGATGTGATAAAGTTTGCAACATTATCATTCCACCTTGTTATAAGAGTATTTTGGTCTATGGATCTGATGCTTCATGATCTTTTGTGAATCATGCTTGAAGTTAAGATCTTATTAAGTTGTATAGAGATGTTCCCACAACGTGGCAGGTTAATTGTCATGACGGGGGACGGATAGCTCCGCGATTGTTTTGTCTTTACGGTGTTATGGCATGACCAATGGGTGGCCAATACATGACGATCAGCTTATGTTTACTTTGACCATGATGTACTTTTGGTCAACTTAAGGGTTTTAGGGCGTAGACTAAGAGGGTACTTCCTTCTTGTTGTTAGGTGTCTCGTAGTACCAGTCTACATTATGTGAGAGCTGTTATGTTTAGTTGTTATCTACGAGGTGAGTTTTCTTACTGTATTACTTATGCCATAGTGTGTATGTATGTGTGTGTGTCTGCATGCTGACCAGCTGGGTCTTATTTGCTGATTGTTGTTATGTGATACCGAGTTGCTGATAGCTCCAGGCATGCTAGTAGCACATTAGGATTGTTGATAGTCCTCAGGGTTGCTGATAACCCATAGGGCATGCTGTTAGCCCACAAGGCGTGGTATTAGCCCATTGGGACTGCTGATAGCCCCAAGGGTTACTGATAACTCATATTTGTTTATTTATGTTGTGTTTTATGTGATGTTTTAGGAAACTCACTAAGTTTCGTACTTACAGTTGTGGATTAAATCTTTTACAGGTACTTATCAGATTGCGAAGGCACACCTACATCAACAGTTTTATGATTCAAGATTTTGCATTATCTTCTTTATAACTCTAATTTTTGGATAATGATTTATGAACAAGTGGTTTGACCTGAACGTAACTTTATTAAAAATAGATGTTTATTCTGTTTTTAAAATTAAAAATTTATTCTAGAAATTGAGAGGTTACGTACGAGATATGTCTTTAGGGCAAAAACATCAAGTATTTATATAAAACAACAAAACCATGTCGTATTAAGCTGTAATGAGGTGTGGCACGGCCTTCTTGTTTTTCTAGGCTTTTGTTTTTCGTCCTTATCTGCTCAAATAAGCTCTAATCTTTTCTTTTTGCTTATCGGCTGTGAATTTGATTGGGATCATCCCAAACACATTACTAATTATGGCAACAATCATTATTCAACCGTCTCAATAATTGTTTTTAATAAAAACTTTTAAAATTATAATTTAATAATTCTTGTTGCCATATTATATTCATTTGATTTATAAATTTTACGGAAAAAATATGTTGTTTATTCATATTTTTTCTAAGAAAATGATTGATTTAGGTGTTGTTTGTTTGGAAAAAACCTCTTCAGGCCTCTTATTGTTGTACGGCACAGCACACGCGCAACACTTTTTATCTCGCAACTGTTTGTTTTTTAGAAGTCTTTGGAGTCAAAAACATATGTGCGTGCTCTGTTTGGCGCAACATTTGTACTGCCTCTTCCAACCTCTTCCTCTTTTTTTCTTGCTGATATTTTGATTATATGTTGTTGAAATTTTATTTCACATTTTTTTCGTTTCTTTTTTGTTTATCCTTTTTGAATTTTTTTTTTGTTTTTTTATATTCAACAATAATAATTTCTTGATGAAATATCATTATTTTTTACTAAACTATCTTTATTTTTTGTTGAAATATCATTATTTGTTATTGAAATATCATTAATTTTTGCCGAAATGTTATACATTATTAAATTTTACGTATTAAAAAATTATTTTCGGTTTAGAAGATTAGTTTATTTTAATTTTTTAATATATACAACAGTATGCAGATGTTAAAAAAACAAACACGTTTCTTATTACAGTCTGCAGTTGTTTGGTCCACCTCTTCTACTGCAGAGGGTTGCAGAAGTGGTCCGCAGTTGCTTCATAAAATCAAAACCCACCTTACATATCTCAATCTTCAGGTCAACTAGGTTGATGGTCACATATCCAACCGGTTTTTTGGTAAACCATACCAGATCGATCCATTTAATAAATAAGAAAAACCCCGATTTTAATTCGCCCAGCCTGGTCACGTTTTAAATGATCCGACTGGCTATGTGTTCCCGATTTTTAAAACATTGAATTAAAACCATAAATTTATACTTTAACCGAGCATAAATCCACCAGCCTTGTTTATTCAGGATATTATTTTTCTTATTTTGAAACAAATCCAATTAGGGGTAAAAGAAATATTAAAAAAAAAAGCAATGAAACAAGATGCGGTATGGAAAATTGTATTAGAGATTTTACCATATATGTCACCACAATGGATACCTCTCACAACAATTATTCAATCTTCAAGTTAAACACTAAACATTATTTCTCCACCATCTAGTAATCTAATAAGTTGAAGTAACAATTATTTATATCAAAACAATTAAACATTAATGACACGTTTTTGGGTCGGGGATGGTAACACTACAAGCATTTGCCACTTTTTTAATACCAGGATTGTCCAGATACGGTCCAACGATTGGATTCTTCGCAAAGTCACATAGGCAATGTTCTTCCATGTGGAGATTGTTGCAACATTCTGAATCCGGAGAAGGTGCTGGTAACGTCGGATCTTGAATAAATGGATAGCATGGTAGTAGTTTTACGATATTGCAGTCTACCGCCATACCCACATGCACTTTCACCATAAGAATTTCCACAACTAACAACACCATGACCCCATAAAGATTAGGCATCTTCATTATAAGAAAAATAGACGATAGAAGATAATAGAAGATTATTATGGCATGAAATTTACAAAACTTTTTACGTTATTTATAGGGATATGAAAATCTTGACCATTGATTTTCAGATCAATTTACAAATAAAGGTCTTAAATTTGTCATAATGTACTAACGAACAAAATAGTTTAACTCTGATAATAAATAAATAACCAATTCAATAAATGCTAAATTATATTTTCTTATGAAATTCTTATGAAAACATATGTATTTAATGAACTTGTTACATTTAATATATTTTTATGGCCTTTATTTTTATACCTTAGTGTATATATATATATATATATAATATATATATATATATATATATATATATATATATATATATATATATTATATATATAGAGAGAGAGAGAGAGAGAGAGAGAGAGAGAGACTTCGGTCAAAATGAGAGCAATTATGTAATTGAGAAGACGAAAACAATTCTGAACAATAATAAGTATATATCAATATATGAATATATAAGTGTATTTGTATATGCATAATCACTTGAGAATAGCCACATACTTATTTATATATGAATATACTTATATATTTATAAATGAATATAGTTATTCACATATGCATATTACATTCCTTCGTCGCGACGGTAGGCAGGAGGGTTTTTTGGCAAAATGAAATATGTCGCCTGGATATGTTCTTGCATTCTGGATTTTATAATGGTGCTCATTTGCACCTTCCTTTGTGTGTGTGTGTGTGTATATATATATATATATATATATATATATATATATATATATATATATATATATATATATACACACAGAAAATATATATAGAACTAGGTTCAAATGTGGATTTACATCTATTGTGTGGACGTGTGGATAATGCTATTCTGTGACAATTACAAAGAAAATATGTTGTTTGATAATATGAATACGTTCAATCTTATATAATTATTTTAATTATTAAGCATTTTCACTAATTAAATTGTCTATAGGTTATTATACCTTTTTTTAATTATTCTCATTCTGTCAGAATGTTATCAGGATGTTTATTGAGTCGTATTCTGTAAGAAGTAAAATAAAAAAACAATGAATGGAGAAAAAAATGAATTAGATTGGTAAGATCCATTAAATAACAATAGTTCTGTGAGATTGAACGTATTCACATTAGTAAACAACATATTCTCTTAGTACTTTTCATAAAATAGCATTATCCACACGTCCACACAATAGTTGTCCATCCACATTATAACCAAGCCCTATATATATATATATATATATAGAGATATATATATATATATATATATATATATCATAAGTATTGTGTGAATGTGTGACAAAATTCTTACCATTAGATTAAAAAGAATGAAATGATGTGATCTAAAGGTACATGATTTTAATATGGACTAGTATGTATTATATAATTACATTATTAATTATTAGGGTAATAGATATATATATATATATATCATATATAAGAGATATATGATATATTAGATATAGATAGAGAGAGAGAGAGAGAGAGAGAGAGAAAGGAAATTATCTAAATTTTAGATAACAAACTAAAATTAATTAATAAAAATAAAATCAAATTTCATATTTTATTTAACATATTTAAATTAAATTAGATTTTTTTTTATAACACGTCTTCATTTAACACATGAGCACATATTTTGATTCTTTTATTCTTGAAGAATATGATTTAATTTAATAGTTTTTTTAGTCTTTCGGTCTTGAAGAATACAATTTTTTTGAGAAGTCACATTGTTAAATAATACACCTCATATATAAAACAATAACTTATCATTCCTTAAAAAAAATATATTACAATATAATCAATAATATATAATATGAAAATAAAATCATTTGTTAACATAATCCTAGAATATATATAATATATATAAGATATATATATATATATATATATATATATTATATATATATATTATATAGATATATGGGAAAAGTGAATATACCTTTAAGGGTATATAAGCTTAGGTACCCAAACTCACAATAATACGTCGTTTTGTATCATATATATACATTGTAATTGTCCAATTGTTCTTATAATTCAACTTCTAACTTGATTATTTCTAAGATTTTTATAAATTTCACATTTATCTTCCTCTTACATACTTTTCATTTTCAACTATAATATATATAGCCTAGTAGGTGTTCGGCAAAAAGATATGATATAAGAGGAAGATAATAGTGAAATTTCGAAAATCTTCAAAGTAAATCAAGTTAGGGGTTGAATTTTAAGAACAATATAATGAATATATATAACAAAAATACTAAATATGATGGGTTTGGGTACCTGTGTTTATATACCCTTAAGGGTATATTCACTTTTCCCTATATATATATATATATATATATATATATATATATATATATATATTTTAAGGAATATACTGAAACTCTTTTTTACTACATTCTTTAGAAATTCTTTATCAATGAAAAGCCAGGGTAGAGCCTCGGAGCCGGCCCAAGCGAAGATCGGCACTCGCAGGCTTGAGGAGCAGCCCGAAAAAGGGAAAGCCGTGGAGACGGCAGACTCGCCAGTCAGGCACACCGTGAGGCTGACTACAGCAGACCAGGAGGTTACAATTCCTGTTTTCCTGTTTCAATTTCCGGGAGTGAAGAATATACAAAAAATTATAATATATAATACATTCTTGACGGATTCTTTATTATTCTTGAATAACCTGATTTTGCTTTTTTATGATTTTTTCATGCCTCGAGTTTAATACTTATACCATTCTTGAAAAGCTAGTCATCTTTTTTTGCCATCCTGTCATTATTAAAACTAAATGTTGGTTTCAGTTCTCTATTTTCCAGCATTTACAAATGCAGTTGAACACATACTACATTGAATATCCATATTCTTTGAAAATACAAACATAAATAAGTAAAGTGAATAAACTTTTGTAGAATTGGTATATATATATATATATATATATATATATATATATATATATATATATATATACACACACACACGAAGTCAGTTCAACTACATGAAAATGATGAACATATAGTATTCCTTAAAAATATGTAGCTTGAATTGTGAAATTCTAAAAATAAGTAATACATTTTCTATTCTTATACTGTAATTCTTCAAGAATCGTCAGTAATTCTTTAAGATTGAGTGGGAATACATTCTATGAGAATGACAATTTGTGAGAATGTGTTCCATGATATTGAATTCTAGTCCATTGGTCTGGATTCTTGAACTTGAGTTATATATTTTCGTAAGCACCAAGACCTCACTTCTCATCAACCAACCCTATCTTGAAACATTTTGAAAGAACAACAACCATTTAGACAAATTTAAAAATAGCTACAAAATTTAAGAAACTAACCATATAAACAAGTTCTAATTCTTATAATAAATAATTTATATATGTAGATAAATTAAAATATTTTATCTTTAAAACTTTAAAAATATACCTTCCTATATGGGCATTTGTTATAAGGGAGTAAACAAGTTTTTGATGGATCATACCATTGATTTAAAAATATACATTCCTATATATAGGGGACGGTTCACTTGAGATTAAGAAAAAAAGTAGATATCTTGAGATTCAACATCAGTCAGATATATCTCATTTGTCGCTCTAACGCTCCAGCGTACCGACAGTAGCGTGGTATGCCTATTCATAAATGATTACATGGCAGAAAGGTATAATCATATATGATTATACATGTTTATATGTATATGCCTAATCATAAATGATTATACATATTTGTGTGTTCATAGATTGAGTAATCATATATAATTACAACAGTTGGTGGCAGAACAGGTGGAGGTGGCACAGGTGGTGGTGGTATAAGTGACGGGGGTGACGGTGGTGGGGTCGATTGGTTTCAGAAGTGGTGCTAGTGGTGGTGGCGGTAGCGGTTGTGGTGGTGGGGATGGTGGTTGTAACACCTGAAATCTAGAAGGTTAATTGTGGAATTATGCAAATTTCAATTTGAACTCGGCGAGTTGGAGAAGCCAACTCGGCGAGTTGAAAATGAAGTATCATGGATTTAATCGGCCTACTCGACGATTTAAGGAGTCTCAACTCGGCAAGTAGAAGTTAGCTTGACCGCGTAGTTTAATGAGGAAACTTGACGAGTTGAGGAGCCTCAACTCAACGAGTTGACCACTCAGAAGGAAAACCTAATTTTCAGGGTTTTGCACCATATTTAAAGACCTTAAACTTCCTTGACTAGCCTCCTTATCAGCCTCCTTGTCCTCCTAAAACCCCAAATCGAGTTGTAAGCCTCTTGTTGGGAATCTTGTGTTTTTAAGTAGAGTTTTGTGTGCTTTTGGTGCTTGGTGAAGGTTTGGAAGAGCTTGAAGTTGTTCAGCTTGGAGTGAAGCTTTGAGATCAAGAATCTATCACACTTTTGGCAACCATTTGAGGTAAATGTCTGGAACTTGGTGATTAATATATTAGATCTTCTCATTTGGATTTTATTGTGATTTTGGCCTCCATTTTGGGTTTATGGATAAGATAGGTAGTGTAAAAGGGGGATCTTTAGGCCATGCATGCATTGAGTTAAGTGTTAAGTTCATTTGAAGCTTAAGATATTCATCTAGACATGCATGGACGTAAAGTTAGCAACTTTACGTGTTTTTCCAGCTCAAGGAAGTCAGATATATGCTTTGTGGCAATGTCATTATGGATTAGGGGCTTAATAAGTTAAGCTGCTGGACTTTGAGAAAACTAGGCAAGTTTATGGATAAACTCGACGAGTTGGCTCGGTTTTCCCCGATATTTTCGACCAGTTGGTGGGTAAACTCGGCGAGTTGACTTGGTTTTCCTCGATTGGTGGGTAAAGTCGGCGAGTTGAATGACAACTTGGCGAGTTGGGTCAACTTGGACCGTTGACTTTGACTTTTGACTTGTGTCCTTGACCAAGTTGTTCCAAGGGGTGTTTGTGGTAACCTGATTTGTATATGGGCTTAGGATAAGACCCATATGGGGTTGGGCCCAATTCGAAAAATTGGGCCATTAG